ATCCACAACTGAATCAATTCATCCTTGTAAACGTATTGACCCATCAGAAAAATTGAACAGAATGCAAAGCATTGTTTCAAGTAAGATGGCAATTTATCATAGCTCAATCTCAACGTTGGCATGATATCGTCCTGCTTCTGATATTCCAGTTTCCAAATTTCACTATCTCTCATCTGCAACCAATCACGCTCATTAGTTTTATTACACAATTTCCTTGCAAATGTCCTTGCAGCCAATGGAACTCCTTTACACTTGTTCACAATTTTCTCCCCAATTTTCAGGAGGTTCGGATGCTTCCTCTCTTCCCCTGGTGGAAAAGCCCATTTCACAAATAACACGAAGCAGGCATTCCATGAAAGTCCATCTAAATCATACCGGTGACTACCTCCCATAATCGAAGCAACATAGTTGCTCCTTGTAGTGACAATGATTTTGCTTCCACTGGCACCATCCATCAACAAACTTTTGAACTCAATCCACTTTGGATGGTCAGCATTCCAAACATCATCCATGACGAGCAAAAATTTCCTACCATACAAAGTACTTCGGAGCATGGACTGCAATTGTTTAATGCCTAATTTTCTACAACATTTAGAAGTTAAATATGTGATAATCTCTCTGGTTAGGATCTCTATATCCAAGTCCGCGGACACACATGCCCACATTTTCAGGTGAAAATGCTGATCAACCTTGTCATCATTGTACACTAACTTGGCAAGTGTGGTCTTCCCCAGACCCCCAATTCCAACTATGGGAATAACAGATACGTGCTCATGATGACGATGAACACAATGATCATTTGATGAATTGTAAATTAACATGTCAATAATTTTTTCTTTGTCATCGTTTCTTCCAATCACATCTTCTCCACGAATGAACGAGTGGGTCATCTCCCTCTCTCTTGGCAGAACATTTCTAGCTACAAAGCGCTCGGTGAGATGAAATTGATCTTTAACAGCAGCAATCTTCTCCAAATGCTTATTGAAGTCCTTGAGTTTATGTCCAAATGAGAAGCGGAATTTAAGCGAATGAGGACTAGGAAGAAAGTCGCGTACCTTTCTGGTTACTAGGCTATGATGATTTACGAATTGCTGTTGCAGCTGGTCAATCTCAAATTCATCTAAGAGATCATCAGCATCGGTGAAAGCATCTTTAAGCTTGCCAAGCCAATTGCAGAGCTCACGGTTCTTTGCCTGCTGTTCCTCGGCATCTAACAGCACTGCTCTGATGGTGGATAGTTTGTTCTGAAGCTCCAGGAGTTCATTTTCTACTCCCCTCAACAACCCAATTTCTTGAAGGAAAAGGCGGGCTATTTTCTGCAAAATTGTATCAGCAATGTTAAACAGAAAAGTTTCTGCCATTTTTTATTTTTTTGAGGAGGAAAGAAAAAGGAGTGGTTCCCAAATTGTGATCAATGAAAGGCTGTTTTAAGAGATAATGACATGAGAACCAGTCTTCTGTTGTGTTTTCGGAGCAAGTGTTATAGGAAATGCAATGTTGCCCAGTCTGTTCATAGACTTTGAAGCATTCAAGTCAACTTTGCTAGGTCTCTCTCTCTCCAGTAGACATTTCAACTGCATGTATTCAGGAAATTTGGTGCAAGTATGGATTAATTACACCAACCTCCCCCTCAGATTAGTTCACATCATTTTTTCCGTCAAAATATTAACTTCCGAATAAAAGTGAATTGTTTGGATATAAATCCATTGATATCCAAATATCACAAATGGAGTGAATTAAGACAAAATGTGGGATTAATAGAAGCTCGGGTGATTCTATTTATACACCACATTTTGTCTCAGTACACACCATTTGTACCATTTAGATATCAACTTTCGAACAAAATCAAAATATTTGAATATCAACTTTTGAACATAAACCAATTGTTTGAACAAAAATCTCGTTCGATAGTTGATATCCAAACATTCGTAATTTGTTCAGAAGTAAATACCCAAACATTTGTATTTTATTTGAAAGTTGATATCTAAAAGGTACAAATGGTGTGTACTGAGACAAAATGTGGTGTATAAATAGAATCACCCGAGCTTCTATTAATCCCACATTTTGTCTTAATTCACTCCATTTGTGATATTTGGATATCAATGGATTTATATCCAAACAATTCACTTTTATTCGGAAGTTAATATTTTGACGGAAAAAATGATGTGAACTAATCTGAGGGGGAGGTTGGTGTAATTAATCCATACTTGCACCAAATTTCCTGAATACATGCAGTTGAAATGTCTACTGGAGAGAGAGAGACCTAGCAAAGTTGACTTGAATGCTTCAAAGTCCATGAACAGACTGGGCAACATTGCATTTCCTATAACACTTGCTCCGAAAACACAACAGAAGACTGGTTCTCATGTCATTATCTCTTAAAACAGCCTTTCATTGATCACAATTTGGGAACCACTCCTTTTTCTTTCCTCCTCAAAAAAATAAAAAATGGCAGAAACTTTTCTGTTTAACATTGCTGATACAATTTTGCAGAAAATAGCCCGCCTTTTCCTTCAAGAAATTGGGTTGTTGAGGGGAGTAGAAAATGAACTCCTGGAGCTTCAGAACAAACTATCCACCATCAGAGCAGTGCTGTTAGATGCCGAGGAACAGCAGGCAAAGAACCGTGAGCTCTGCAATTGGCTTGGCAAGCTTAAAGATGCTTTCACCGATGCTGATGATCTCTTAGATGAATTTGAGATTGACCAGCTGCAACAGCAATTCGTAAATCATCATAGCCTAGTTACCAGAAAGGTACGCGACTTTCTTCCCAGTCCTCATTCGCTTAAATTCCGCTTCTCAATTGGACATAAACTCAAGGACTTCAATAAGCATTTGGAGAAGATTGCTGCTGTTAAAGATCAATTTCATCTCACCGAGCGCTTTGTAGCTAGAAATGTTCTGCCAAGAGAGAGGGAGATGACCCACTCGTTCATTCGTGGAGAAGATGTGATTGGAAGAAACGATGACAAAGAAAAAATTATTGACATGTTAATTTACAATTCATCAAATGATCATCGTGTTCATCGTCATCATGAGCACGTTTCTGTTATTCCCATAGTTGGAATTGGGGGTCTGGGGAAGGCCACACTTGCCAAGTTAGTGTACAATGATGACAAGGTTGAGCAGCAGCATTTTCACCTGAAAATGTGGTCCTGTGTGTCCGCAGACTTGGATATTCTCTATTTACAACGCTAGATTATCACATATTTAACTTCTAAATGTTGTAGAAAATTAGGCATTAAACAATTGCAGTCCATGCTCCGAAGTACTTTGTATGGTAGGGAATTTTTGCAGTAGTTTCATTAGTGTCACTGTCTTTCACCGGTTTAGTCACATCCCCGGTGACAATTCGCCAGAGCTTCTTGCCTTTGAGGAAGGAAGACATGGCTTGGGCCCACAGAACATAGTTTGAACCATTCAGAATAACGGAAATGGGATGGGAGGTATCAAGACGATCCATAATACTAGTTAAGTAGGATTAAAGCAACAGGAAGAGACCTGTAGGAGCAAAATTTGGTAAAACAGAGTGTACCAGTGAGTCCGGAAGGTCGAAAATAGCCAGGAAAGGTATGCTGGATAGAGATGATGTCAGCAATGATGTCAGTGGCGCACGTTAGCAGAGTGCAGGGAGGAGCACGTTAGCAGGAAGGCGGCGGCGCACGGTAGCGGACAGGCGCAGACGCGGCGCACGGTAGCCGTTTTGGCGCACGCGGGTGCACTTTAGTGAAGCGGCGCACGAAAGGCGCACAGTAGCAGGCGCGGCGTACGGGAGTGGTAGGGCTGACGTCAGCCGCGGTTGTGTGGGCGCGTGGAGGCGCGTGGCGGAAGCAAGGTGCAACAGATGGCGCGTGCGGGCGCGTGTGAGAGTGGTGACGGAGGTGGTGACGCGCCGAAGACAAAGGTGGCGCGTGAGGGCGCGTGGAGCGTGTTCTGAGGACGGGCTTGGTGCCGTTGGAATCGTGAGGAAATTCCGAGCGGTTTGATGTATGCCACTGTGTACGGGACTAAACACCAAAATCGAAAATTGCCAGAAATGCAACACTGGGCTCTGATACCATGAAACAATAATTTGAGAGAGTGATAGAGAATAGAGAGAGAGAAATACTGAATTGTTCAGTTGTTGTATATCTGTGTAATTACAAGGAGATTTACACCTCTCTTTTATAGAGAGGAAGAGGGACATTGGGTGCCTTTGCACCGAAAGCATAAAGAGAGAGAGAGGGAACAACAATTATGAAAGCATAAACATAATAATAGACTACAATGATGACTAACACTACTAATATACAATATGAATATACAATAATATACTAACATCCCCCCGCAAACTCAAGGAGGGAAAGCATCAACCAAGTTGAGTTTGGAAACAAGATCAACAATATAATCACGAAGATGGATAGGAGGTTGAGTTACCCGGCGTAGTCGACCTGTAGGAGGATCGGTGGGAGGAATAATCGGTGGAGAAGGAGGTATGGCAATGAGAGGTGGACCTTCAGGGAGAGCAGGCTGGACGGGATCAGGAGTGAGCAAGGGCGTCTCGATGAAGGAGGAACCTGTATCAAAATCATCAGAGAAAAGATCTACGGAAGGATTAGTAAACAGTACATTTGTGGAAAGTGCGGGTAAGTGAAAGGAGGATAGCGAGGAAAACATTTGGTGCTCACAGAAAACGACATGTCGGGAGATACGAAGACGTTTAGAGAGAGGATCCTAACAGCGAAAGCCTTTATGTTCAATTCCATACCCAAGAAAGCAACAAAGACGAGAACGAGGTTCAAGCTTGGTGTGTTCATGGGATTGAAGCAGAACAAAGCAGGCAGAGCCAAAAATCCGAAGATTGGCGTAAGGAGGGGGAGTGCCATACAGACATTCAAAGGGAGTTTGATTATGGATGACAGGGGTAGGAGCACAATTGATAGTGTAAACAGCAGTGAGGGCAGCTTCCCCCCAAAAGTTTTCAGGGCAGGAAGAAGATAGAAGGAGAGTGCGAGTAGTGTCAAGAATATGCCTATGTTTCCGTTCAGCGCGGCCATTTTGCTGGGACGTGTCAGCACAGGAACGATGAGGTAGTGTACCATGATGCTGAAGAAAGGAAAGGAAATCTGAATCTCGATATTCCATAGCATTGTTAGAACAAAAAATTTTGATGGCTTTGGAGAATTGGGTGTGGACCATTTGGGCAAATCTATAATAAATGTGTTTAAGTTTAGACCTATTTTTCATGAGAAAAAGCCAAGTAAACCAGGAAAAATAGCGAGATCCCCCCATAGTAGTAGTAGGGGACGGGCCCCAAATATCCGAATGTATAAGATCAAAAGGTGCAAGGGAAACAGAAGTACTTTTATTAAATGATAAAGCAGGTTGTTTGGCAAGTTGACAAGGTATACAATCGAAATTATATGGAATTACATGACCCAACTATCCACTAGAAACCAAAGACTTTAAGCGATTTACAGAAATATGCCCTAAGCAACAATGCCAAAGATAAAAGGGAGATAATGAGGAAGTAGCTGCAGGAGCAGCGATCTGAGGAGAGGCAGGAACATGAAGGTGAATGAGTTCATAGAGACGTCCATGCTTACAGCCGATCCCAATAGTCTGCCTCATCTGAGGGTCCTGTACCAAACAATCAGTAGCAGAAAATGTGACAATTAGACCAAGTTCATATAATTGACCAATGGAAATAAGGTTTAAGGTGAGAGCAGGGATATGATAAACTTGAGGTATAGATAAAGAAGATGTGGAAACAGTACCAACAAGACAAACATACATGAGGGAACCATCAGCAGTATGAATTAAGGGAATATGAGGAGATGAGGAAAAGGAAGAAAATATAGTAGAACTGGAGGCCAAATGATTACAACAGGCAGAGTCAAAATACCAAGAAGAGTTACTTGGGATCACAGACAAAGCAGTAGGAGGAGGTGTACCAGAAGGGGAGAGAAGATGTTTGAGCATGGCCTCTACATCCGTTGGAGAAAAGCGAGGAGTGGACGGAGCAGGTGATTCGGAGAACCCCTCAGAGGCAACAGTAGCAGTGTGATGAGACTGATTCCCGGAACGATGAAAGCTCCCCCGGAGAGAGCCACTGCGAGAGGAGTGGCTATTAGAGGATGATCGGGATGGATTGCGAAAACAATCCTGTTGCAGATGACCAGGACCAAGTTTGTTGCAGTAGCGGCAGGATCTGACGGGGCAATTGACCAGGAGATGGGTTAAAAGAAGGCCCCGATTCTGACAATAGAGGCAGACAGTGGTCCGCTGGGTAAATGATGGCCGATACGGAGGAGTGGCAAGAACAGAGTCCACTTGATGAGTTTGAAGAGTCCCGAGACGAGTCTCCTCTGATAGCAACTCA